TTACCACTATTATTCAACATAGTTTTGGAAGTTTTAGCCACAGCAATCAGAGAAGAAAAAGAAATAAAAGGAATCCAAATTGGAAAAGAAGTAAAACTGTCACTGTTTGCAGACGACATGATACTATACGTAGAGAATCCTAAAGATGCTACCAGAAAACTACTAGAGCTAATCAATAAATTTTGTAAAGCAGCAGGATACAAAATTAATGCACAGAAATCTCATGCATTCCTGTACACTAATGATGAAAAATCTGAAAGTGAAATCAAGAAAACACTCCCATTTACCACTGCAACAAAAAGAATAAAATATCTAGCAATAAACCTACCTAACGAGATAAAAGACCTATATGCAGAAAACTATAAGGCAATGATGAAAGAAATTAAAGATGACACAAACAGATGGAGAGATATACCATGTTCTTGGATTGGAAGAATCAACATTGTCAAATGATTATACTACCCAAAGCAATCTACAGATTCAATGCAATCCCTATCAAACTACCAACGGCATTTTCACAGAACTAGAACAAAAAATCCCACAATTTGTATGGAAACACAAAAGATCCCAAATAGCCAAAGCAATCTTCAGAAAGAAAAATGGAGCTGGAGGAATCAGGCTCCCAGACTTCAGACTATACTACAAAGCTACAGTAATCAAGACAGCGTGGTACTGGCACAAAAAGAAAACTATGTATCAGTGGAACAGGATAGAAAGCCCAGAGATAAACCCACGCACATATGGGCACCTTATCCTTGATAAAGGCGGCAAGAATATACAATGGAGAAAAGACAGCCTCTTCAATAAGTGGTGCTGGGAAAACTCGACAGCGACATGTAAAGGAATGAAATTAGAACACTCCCTAACACCAAACACAAAAATAAACTCAAAATGGATTAAAGACCTAAATATAAGGCCAGATACTATAAAACTCTTAGAGAAAAACACAGGCAGGATACTCTATGACGTAAATCACAGCAAGATCCTTTTTGACTCACCTCCTAGAGAAATGGAAATAAAAACAAAACTAAACAAATGGGACCTAATGAAACTTCAATATGAAACTTCAAAGCTTTTACACAGCAAAGGAAACCATAAACAAGACCAAAAGACAACCCTCAGAATGGGAGAAAATATTTGCAAATGAAGCAACTGACAAAGGATTAATCTCCAAAATTTATAAGCAGCTCATGCAGCTCAATATCAAAATAACAAACAACCCAATCCCAAAATGGGCAGAAGACCTAAATAGACATTTCTCCAAAGAAGATATACAGATTGCCAACAAACACATGAAAGGATGCTCAACATCACTAATGATTAGAGAAATGCAACTCAAAACTACAATGAGGTATCACCTCACCCCAGTGAGAATGGCCATCATCAAAAAATCTACAAACAATAAATGCTGGAGAGGGTGTGGAGAAAAGGGAACCCTCCTGCACTGTTGGTGGGAATATAAATTGATATAGCCACTATGGAGAACAGTATGGAGGTTCCTTATAAAACTAAAAATAGAACTACCATACGACCCAGCAATCCCACTACTGGGCATATACCCTGAGAAAACCATAATTCAAAATGTGTCATGTACCACAATGTTCATTGCAGCACTATTTACAATAGCCAGGACATGGAAGCAACCTAAGTGCCCGTCGACAGATGAATGGCTAAAGAAGATGTGGCACATATATACAATGGAATATTACCCAGCCATAAAAAGAAATGAAATTGAGTTATTTGTAGTGAGGTGGATGGACCTAGAGACTGTCATACAGAGTGAAGTTAGAAAGAGAAAAACAAATAGCGTATGCTAACACATATATATGTAACCTAAAAAAAAAAAATGGTTCTGAAGAATCTAGGGGCAGGACAGGAATAAAGACACAGACATAGAGAACAGCCTTGAGTACACGGGGAGGGGTAAGGGTAAGCTGGGACGAAGTGAGAGAGTGGCATGGACATATATACACTACCAAATGTAAAACAGATAGCTAGTGGGAATCAGCCACATAGCACAGGGAGATCAGCTCGCTGCTTTGTGTCCACCTACAGGGGTGGGATAGGGAGGGTGGGAGGGAGACGCAAAAGGGAGGGGATATGGGGATATATGTATATGTATAGCTGATTCAATTTGTTATAATGCAGAAACTAACACACCATTGTAAAGCAATTATACTCCAATAAAGATGTTAAAAAAAAAGAAGTGTTCATTATATTACATTAATCTCTCTATATTTCTGCTTAAAATATTTCATGTAAAGAAGAGAATCTGGATGAATGTGTGGACAATGATACATAACATATTTTAATATAACATGTCTTATAACTCCTTTCTTTTCCTCCTCCATTTATTCTACTTATTAAATGCTAAAACACTTCAGGTTTATTACTTACTTTCTTGATCTTTTGGATCATTTCCTTCATACTCAGCCCCCTGGATAAACTGTAAAATGTTCTGCTTAAAGAACCTCTGGGCTAGGTCCAATACATTTTCTCCATTATCGTTGAAGGCTTTCAAAGCTTGGGAGGCACTGCTCATTCTACTGAGTAGGAATTTAAAACAGTGAAGGTGGCCTTCCATGGCTGCTAAGTGAACTATAGGTGAGAGAAAAAAATAATAATAATTTAATTTTAAATTGACAATAAGATATCTTGAAAAAAGAAACAACACATTAACTCTAATCCTCCTAGGGAGACAACTATCCCTATCCTATATAACAGAGATGTACTCTGGATGCAAGGATAACAGACCATTTTTCCAGCTTACATGTCCTTACTCAGTCAGCCTTCTAGTCAAGCCACAGCAGTAGATTAAATGGTTGAATAGCTACACTTACTGTGAATGTAGAGAGGCCAAGTGAGGGTCACCAAAGAGCAGGTCTCAGAAAATTTTCTTGGAAAGTGAAATCCCAACTGCGCAGCTTATAATTATATGAAAAAAATGCCTTCTATGTAATATAGGTGCTAGATAGATAAATTTATCTTAATATTTTGGAAAAAAGTGGAAGAAATAAACCAAAATAGTCACTATGCAAATAGGGGTGATGTTATTTTTATCACTATGTATTTTGTCACTTTTTCATAAACATTATTTTTATTATAAACAAGAAGACTAGATCAAAACTGCAGACTAAGCACACACACTATCTCACCATTTCTTCTCTTAAATTCTTGAAAATAATAGAAAAATATTTTTTAAAGCCATAAAGGACAAGAAAAACAGACAAGAACACCACAAACAGACAAGAAATATTAAGGAATCCCTGAAAGAAAATATCAATATAATGAATCAGATTGAGGGACAGCCATAACCCAAAAGCTGCAAAAAACAGGAATGGTTCTGGGGTATTACAAGCTTAGAGGCAATGATTACAAAGAACAAGAGAGCCTTTACACCTCTTGAGAAGTGACTATTTGGGAAAGACTCCAATTTGTATACAAATCTTGGCTCTGGAGAAGTAGGGCAGTGCCCAAGTCACCAGTAAAACTCAGGAGAATCAATTAAGTAACAATGTCCACAAGTAGTTGGCACGTGCCAGTGTACACTTTCTCAGCTGAACCTTCCACTAAAAAACTCCCTCTGAAAGTTCGGACTCCTCTAACTGCTTACTCATCATATACATGAAATGTGTCATAGGCATTTCAAACTTAACAGGTCAAAAACTGAACTCCTTACCCTTTTTGCATACATATTCCTTACACAGCTTTCCCCATGTCGGTTAATGGAAATGCTCTCCTTTCCATGAAGGTCAAGCCAAAAACCCTGGAGCCATCCTTGACTCCCATTTCTGTCACTCCCCACATCTAATCAATCAGCAAATCTTACTGGCTCTATCTGTAAAAGATACACAGACCCCAATTACTTCTCATTATCTAGTCCAACCAAACAGTAACCTAAACTATTGCATCAAGCTCCAACCACTCACGCCCACACCATCACTACAATCTAGTATTATAAACACAATAGCCAAAATGATGGTTTTAAACATAGATCATGTCACTCCCACGCTCAAAATGCTTCAATGGCTCTTGTTACCTCTCTGACCTCATCATCTATTACGCCCTCACTTCTGTTCCAACCACACTGACTTGCTGTTACTCAAATACGCAAGGCACAACCCTGCCTCAGGAGTTTTACACATTGCTGTTACATCTTCCTAAAATGTTCTTCCCCCAGGATATCAAGACTTGCTCCCTCAACTCCAAGTCTTCACCCAAATGTCACCTCTTCAGTGAAGGCTTTCCTGACTACCCTATTTCAAACTTCATCCCCTGTAACACTCTACTCCCCTTTGCTATTTAATCCAAACACATATCCCTATTTAATACAATATATATTCTGTTCATTCATTTTTATTATTGTCTGTCTCCCCCCTCACCATACACAAAGGCAGAGACTTTTGTCTGTTTTATTTGCAGTGATATCCCCAGCACCTAGGGACTGACACACAGATGCTTAATAAATTTTGAATTAATAGTTTTTAACAGAGAAGTCTGAATATAAGCAGTCTAGTCCTGAGGCCACATTCTTAACCTCTACCGTATACTATTAAAAAATATACTACACATGGTTATAAAATAATTATACATGTTTAAGGAAATAAAAGTTGATTTTTTTTTCAAAGAGCGGGCAACAAGAGACTAACAAAGTAATCAGGCAAATTCAATAAAGAACTTAATAAAAATGAAATTCCCCCCTACCTTGTATTAAAGAAAAGTCAATTCCAGGTGGAAATGTGAAAATAAAATAATAAAATTCCTAGAAGATAATAAAAGAGTGTCTTCATGAAATGAAGACTTTCTGAATCCTGTTAAAAAAAGTCTTTCCTTTTTTTTCACAGGATTCAGAAAGTACTAACCATAAAGGAAGAGCTTATTAAACTGGACTATAGTAAAATGAAAACTTCTATTCATCAAAAGATATCTTAAAAGAATGAAAAGGCAAGACAATAGAATGGAAAGGATACTTAAAAGGAAAAGATATTTGCAACACATGTAAGTGACAAAGAGCTTGTGGTCAGAATATATAAAGAACCCCTACAACTCAATTAGAAAAAAAGAGGAACAACTCAAAAAAAAAAAAAAAAAAAATGCAGGGCTTCCCTGGTGGCGCAGTGGTTGAGAGTCCGCCTGCCAACACAAGGGACATGGGTTTGTGCCCCGGTCCGGGAAGATCCCACATGCCGCGGAGTGGCTGGGCCCATGAGCCATGGCCGCTGAGCCTGCACGTCCGGAGCCTGTGCTCCACAGCAGGAGAGGCCACAACAGTGACAGGCCCGCGTATAGTTAAAAAAAAAAAAAAGTGCAGAAGCTTCAAACTGGTATTTCACAGAAGAAAATAACTAAACAGCCATTAATCATATGAAATGATGTTCTACATCTCTAGTCATCTGGGAAAATTCAAATTAAAACCACAATGAGATATTACTATACACTCAAAAGAATGACTAAAACTAAAAAAACTGATAGTGTCAAGTGCTGATGAGAAAGTGGAGTAACTGAAAGCCTTAAACACTGCCTGTGGGTGTATAAATTGATAAAAACCACTTTGGAAAGTCAAAAGAAGCCACACACAAAAGGACACCAGTGTATTATTTTATTCCATGGAGTTCAGAAAAAAAACAATACTAATTTTTATGTTGGAAGTCAAGGTAGTGATTAACTTTGGAAGTTGGCAGTAACTAGAAAGAGCACACGAAGGAGACTACCCTGTTTCTTGATTTAGCTGATGGTCACAGAGAAGTGTTCACTTGTGAAAATTTAGTGAGCTGTGCATTTGAATTGGGCGTTTTTCTGTATGCATGTTATATGTCAAAAATAAAATTTTTTTTAAAAAGACTGAGAGTAAAAGAGTTACTTCCAGATACACAAAAATCGAGAGAGTTCATACCAACAAACCTTCACTAAATGAACACTAAAGGATGTCCTTCAGAAAGAAGCAAAATGATCCAAGATAGCAGTGTCAAGGGATGGAAGATGAGGGCAGGGAGGAAAGTCAGAGCCAAATTATGAAGGCCCAGCATGCCAAGCTAAGTAATCAGAGATCCACTGGGATCTAGGGAGTTTTTAATAATCAAAGTGATTATTTTGCCTGGACTTCCCCTTCATTTGTTTGCTACCTAAGATTCCTTTAAGACATAGTTCAAGTATTGTTTCAGTAACCAATCTCACTGTGGTCTAACTCTCTTCTGAACTTCTACAGCACCTCTTAGAAGAAGACAGGGTACTTAAGAGTATAGGTCTCAGCTGGCTAGTTGACCGCAGGCTAGACAACTGCAATTAGCAAATTAACTCAAATACACTAGTGTTCACTATCTGTACTATTACTTTTTTAAGTAATCTGTGGGGAAGAGACATATGAAGTTAAAAAACAATAACACTAGAGAGTAGATGAGGGAAACAGCTGGTGGGAAGAGTAAATCCAAGTTTAATTTTGGATATTTCTCTTTTGCTAATATGGTTCCAGAAAAAAAAATCAGTCACATGATGGGTACATAACATAGACATAATATAAGATAAAAAATGTTCATGTCAACATATTTACTACTTTAGTTTTGTTAGGAAATATTAGAATGACGACAGTTCAAATTTCTTAAACATGATCAAACATTGTTAAAGTTTACATTAATAGAAAAACAAAATATTTGCTTTTGCGAATACCTGGAAGGTTTCCATTGTAGTCCACATCTTCTATGCTACATCCCCATTTAATGAGAAGTTGCAGACAGCCAAGCCGCCCATGAAAAGCTGCATAATGCACAGGTTTCCACTCTCTCTTATCAGTCACGCTGGGATCCTAGAGGTAACATTCACAAGGACTCAGTTCTTTTACGTTTTGTAGGGGAAACACTAAGTCTAGCAGCTTAATTCTGCAAATGAGAATTGGAGGCTGTTCTTAAAACTATAAGGCAAACACTAAATATCATAGAAATATTTACTGCAACCACTGATTTGAACATATGAGCTAATAATATACAAATGAAATTATAAAGTCTTTTAAAAAAGAACATAACTAGCCACATAAAAATCGTTTCTTTTTAAAAAGGAACTTAACTAGTCATTTTACTGGTCACAAGTTCCTGACCAATAAAATGAAAGAGATGGATTCAAATGATCAAATATTATCCTTGGGAGCATAACCAAAGAGTTAATGAAAAAATATTTAACTCTTATAAGAAGTTACTTTTTACAGCCACTGGGTAATATTAAAAATAAATATCACAATAAATGAAATTTCTGGAGATATAAATCACTTTCTAAATTAGTGTATGAAATAAGAGTTACCAAAGAAACAGGTAAACACACAGCAAGTCAGAAGATTTACAATCCCTGGTTAAGATGTGTCTGGAAGCTTCAGAATCTTCCCTGTTAAACTCTGAACTGACATGAAGAATTCATAGCCTCTGAAATATTTTGTACCACTAAGCTGTTTTTGTTGTTGTTGTTGATGATTTATCTAAATTATTGCTCCCATGTTTAAAGATAGAAAAGCTAAAGAGAGAGATCAAATTACTTCCTCAAAGTCACATAAGGGATTTACAAAGTCAGGAAGAGATAACCAGACTACCAAATGTTAGTCCATATGATATGGACTGTATGGACTATAGTCCATATCATTATACATTCTCACTTATTAACAGGCATCCCTCACCACTCCACTTCGGAGCATTATTTGTAAAGTGAAAGAATGTCCGTGTGTTGTCGCAAGGTGTAAAGGAGTGCATCCACGATCATCTTGAGCTGCCAGATTGGCTCCATTAATTATAAGAGTCTGAAAGTAGAGACATAAGAATGAGTTTACATGAAGATAGATGTTAAATCATAAATGCAGATGCAGATTATTTAAAGGCAAGGAATTTGTTAACCTATAGCTAAGCTATTATGTAAGTTCTTACATGTGTGCTACACACAAAGTGTGAGAAATTCTTAGCTAGTCCTAAGAAAATGCTTGAGATCCTTTTTAACATTGCCTAGGAGACATGTATACCCAATTTCACATTCTGATTTGAGTATGTACATACAATTTATAAAACAAACTTTTCATGAGCACAGATTAACAACCACTAAGTTAAATAATTTAATGCTAAGCTAATAAAATTGAAATTTAAACTTCCTCTGTTTCAAAAGCAGAATCTTTTATTAACTGGGTTTTGAATACAATAAAAGGATTTCATTACTAAAGTAACCAGTTCTAAGCTCCAAATCAAAATTCTAACGGCATCTGAGGAGATTCCATCTGAATTTACAATTGGCCCAATTTCTGTATATGGGTTACATCATATACACAACACACCCCTTTATATAATATACAGAGTAATTGGTTTAAAAAATTATTAGCAAATATTTTTCAGTTTTACCTCCCTCCGACTTTTTTTCTTTTAACCAGGCTATATTTACCAGCATCTCAGCAAAAGTTTACTTAGTCATAATTCCTACCAAGAGTTTTAGGAAGAACAGTATCCATGATTTTGCCTGACTCCCATTAACAAACTAGTCAATAATCATCACAAACCATATACTGAGTGCTTACTATGTCACTACAAAGAATATGAAGATATATCAACTTAGGGAATTAGGACACATGTAGAGACAAAGACAATCAACTATACAAAGCAGTCCTTGGTAAGTAACAACTACAAAGTATAGTACCCCAAAGCACCACAAAAGCTCTAAGAATGAAGAGATCACTTTGGGGAACAGAAGGACAATCAAGGGAGAGGGAGTGGGTTAAACTAATGCTTAGAGGAAGGAAAGCAACAAGTAAAGCTTCATTTGACCCTGATATCCCCTTAAGTTACTATTGTATTTGCTCCTTCCTTTCACTGCCTACTTTCCAAATACCTCAATGCCTTGACTTCAAATCCACCTGCAAATTGGGTGCTGTCCCTATCACTACATAGAAATATAGCCAACCTCTCCCTATAGAGAGTTCTCTAGTTCAGTGGCATTTCCTTAAGTGCTGTTCCCCTTAGTTTTATTCTGTAAGTGATACTCTGCCTGACTTCAACTTCTTCCTTCACTTGCACAGCGCTAATGGGTCCTGACTCTCTATCTCTCTTTCTCCTCTGAATTCCTTACTCATTTCGCTGCTTCCTCCCATCCCTACTAGTAACATTTTTCAACATTCAATCCTCAGTACTCTGTACTCTTCGCTAAGCTTTATTACTCCTGAAATCTTTGTCACCAGTGTCCTTTTCAACTGCCCTGTCCTTCAGCACCCGAATGACCTATAGGCACCTTAAACTCAACATGGGCCAAAGTTGAACTCAACATCCTTCCTCCCAAACCTCCCCTGCCTTTCAGATGTCCCTATCTATAGTGCCATAATTATCTGTCGTTCTGACTCAAAACCTTACAGTCTCACTACACTTTGCCAATGCCTGCTATGCAAGATGTTTTAAATAATTTTCTTTGTTTCCCACTGCCACCAACTAATCTCACCCTCTATGGTTAGTGATAATATCAAAAGTCTCTGATTATCTTGCTTCCAAACACTCTCTTCATCCTACATAATCCTGGATACATCTTGCTAGAATAATTTCCTGAAATATTGTTTTCATTACTACATTCCCCTGTTAATGTCTATGTGCATGTGTATGTATGTATGTGTGTGTATATACATATATATACACACATATACATGTGTATAGTATACATATAAAATTCTCTTTCCTATACAAATGAATCTTTATTCTATTCCTAAGACATTTTACAAGTCTGGCTTTATCTAAACTTAGTTCAGAACAAATCATCTACACTCAGTCAAACTCATATAATGGTATATTCCTTGAACACACCTCATTTTTCCAATTCAAAGATTTCACATAGAATTATAGCATAGAGGTTAATGGGACAAAGTCTAGGTTCAAACCCTGGCTTTGTCACTAACTTAAGCAACGAACTTAACTCTCTGAATCTGTTTCCTAATCTACAGGAAGGGAAACTCATAAGATTATTGTATTAAATGAAGTGATGCATGGGAGACGGTGACTGACACATAAAAAGTGTTCAATAAATTAAAATCATTATTTTTATTTGCTCCTGACACCGTCCCTACCTACAATGCTTCTTCACTACTTATCTTTTTAAAATCAACCCATTCTTTTAGGATTAGCTGAAGTTTCATTTCCTCCATTTATGATTCCCTTATCTTCTCTTAAGTTCTACCGTTCTTCTCATCTATACTTTTCATGAGAACCATACTCAGAGACTGTGATTTGTACTGTTTTGTAACTCACTGAGTAAAGCTACTGTCATTCCCAATAGAATCTCAGGCTTCTTACAGGCAGGGACTGTTTGCTTATATGATTTTGTATTCCTCGAAGCTCCAGTCCATTTCACAACATTGATTAAGTCTATTTACTCTAATAAACTAGATCCTGCCACATATTAATGTATAACTCTGGCCAGGAAATACATTAAATGAGGAATTTTAGGCATGGCAAGCTATAAAGAAGATAATCTGGGCATGACTATGACATCCCTTAAAACAACCCAAACAGATAGCCAACTGCTTTAGAGATAATATAATTTCCGATCTTATACAATCTGTCTGAGTGACAGTTGGTACCAAAATATGAGTCCTGGAATCCAGTAAGTTTTTGTTTAGAACATAGAACTACTAAGTCTATGGGATCAAATTATTAGAATAAAGGCAATAGCCCAACAGAACTATGCTAAAGTAATTAAACTTATTGAATTTTTAAAAAAAGTAACCAAAGTTATTATCACCTGCATGCAAGCATCCTGTCCCCTGATGGCAGCTATGTGAGCTGCTGTCCAACCTCTCATGGTTGCTTGTGAGAGATCAGCTCCACGCCAGAGGAGCCAATGAAGACACTACGTTAAGAAAATACCCATGTTAGCAGATATTTTTAACATTTTTATATCTTTAAAGTTAGTCTATCATCATGAAATACTACAGCCTGAGAAGCATCATAAGTGAATGAGGGGGCCAGGTATAAGAAAAACAAAAGCACAAGCACAATCATATGGTAACCCACATTTGGCCTTACTGTTGGGTAAACAATATGGAGTGGTAGGAGCTATGGCAAACTGGAGACCACATTCCCTGTCCATAAGGTGAAATACTACTCAATTCCAGCCAGTTTTTGCAGTGAGTGAAATGCTGGTCCATATCTTACGTTTGACCAATACTCTGCAAGCCAAACAAAACACATCTGTGGTCAAATTCACTCAACGGCTGCCAATTTACAATCTCTGCCATAGATCTTTAAATGGGTCCAGAAATTTGTGTATCAGAGAAGACACTGTAATTCTGATGATACTTTCTAAGAAAATAAGTGGCATATTAAACAAAGTGAGGGAGTAAAACACATCTTCATTTAAGATTTTTTAAAATTAACTTAAGTCTCAATATAATTCAGTACTAGAGGTCTGTGCCACATATAGTGTTACTCTCTTTATATATTCAAGTTTGTAGATTCTACCTTAAAGAAGTTTCTTTCTTTATAAAAGAATTGATTGTATCATTGGGATACACTGTCACATCAATCATTGCGATATCATTTTTTGAAAAGGCTAATCATTTAGGTATCATTTGCCTGTCATGGAGATTAATGGCCAATAAAATATGGGGAGGGGTGGAGTTGAACCTCACTAATAATCACAGTAAGTCATTCATTTGCTCAACAAATATTTATGGAGAACCAACTATATGCTAACACTGTACAGGTACTGGAGAATAAAACCACTGTAAACATGCATGTACAAGTTATTTATCTCTCTGGGGTAAATATGCAGAAGTGAGATTTCTGGGACACAGGTAAGTATATGTTGTTTAACTTTATAAGAAACTGCCAAACTGTTTTCCAAAGTGACTGCACCATTTTACATTTCTACCAGCAGTGTATGAGAGTTCTAGTCGCTCCATGTCCTCGTCAATACTTGGTATTATCATTTCTCTGGGTTATGCTTTTGTTTTTGTTTTGCCATACTAACCGGTGTGTAGTGACACCTAATTGTGGTTTTAATTTGCATTTCCCTAATGGCTAATGATGTTGAACACTTTTTTCATGTGCTCATTATCATCCACATGTCCTCTTTGAGAAAGTGTCTAATGAAGTCATTTGCCCGTTTTTAATTGGGTTGTTTTCTTACTACTGAATTGTGAGAGTCTCATATATTCTGGCTACAAGTTCTTAGTCATATTTATGATTTGCAAAGATTCTCTCCAATGTTTTCTTCTAGAAGTTTTAGAAGGTTAAGTTTTACATTTGTTTATCATCTGCTTTCAGTACATTTTTACATATGGTACCAAGTATGAGTTGAGGCTCATTTTCTTACGTATGACTGTCCAACTGTGCCAGCACCATTTAATAAAAATACTATCTGTTCTCCATTAGATTGCCTTTGCATCTTTGTCAAAAATCAACTGACCAATCAGCAGGTCTTCAGAAATGACTAAGTGAGGAGCTTGGTAAATCCTCCCCAAGAAGCAATGACAAAGCTAAACAAAGTTGTCAAAAACAACCATTTAGGGAATTCCTTGGCAGTCCAGTGGTTAGGACGCCACGCTCCCACTGCAGGGGGCAAGGGTTCGATCCCTGGTCTGGGAAGATCCCAAATGCCGTGGAGCAACTAAGCCCCTGTGCCACAACTACTGAAGCCCCCATGCCTAGAGCCCATGCTCCGCAACAAGAGAAGCCACTGCAATGAGAAGCCCATGCAGCGCAACGAAGAATAGCCCCCACTCGCCACAACCAGAGAAAGCCCGTGTGCAGCAACAAAGACCCAACGCAGCCTAGAATAAATAAATAAATAAATATTAAATAAAAAGGATATATATATGTATAACTGAGTCACTTTGCTGTACAGCAGAAATTAACACAACACTGTAGATCAACTATACTTCAATAAAATTTTTTTAAAAAAGAATTCTAATATCAAAGTTATTGTGAGGAATAGACAATATACTTTGTCAATACATACCAAAACTCAAGGCACCTAATAAATACTAAGCACTGCAAAAAATAAAATGTCCAGTTTTCAAAATGTCCAAACTAAAAAATTATGAGACATACAAAGAAAACAAGAATGTATAACACATACACAGGAATAAAAAGGAATCGATAGAAACCATCTCTGAGGTACTTCCCTGGCGGTCCAGTGGTTAAGACTCCGCACTTCCAATGCAGTGGGCACAGGTCCCATCCCTGGTCAGGGAACTAAGATCCCACATGCCATGAGGTGTGGACAGAAAAGAAAAAAGAAAAAAAAAAAGAAACCATCTCTGAGAGGGCCCAGATGCTCAGCTCAGAAAGACTTCAAAGCAGCTATTACATATAGCTTTAGAGAACTAAAAGAAATTATTTTTTAAAGAATTTATGTTGGGGCTTTCCTGTTAGCACAGTGGTTAAAACACCCCCTGCCAATGCAGGGGGCACCGGTTGGAGCCCTGGTCCAGGAAGATCCCACATGCCGTGGAGCAACTAAGCCTGTGCACCACAACTACTGAGCCCACGTGCCACAACTACTGAAGCCCGCACACCTAGAGCCTGGGCTCTGCAACAAGAGAAGCCACCACAATGAAAAGCCTGCACACTGCAACAAAGAGTAGCTCCCGCTCGCTGCAACTAGAGAAAGCCCGCATGCAGCAATGAAGACCCAACGCAGCCAAATAAATTAATTTTTTTAAATTTATGTTTAATGAATTAAACAAAAATATGATGACAATGATTCATCAAATAGAAAATAAAGAGACAGAATTTAATAAAAAAAGAAAATTCTGAAGGTGCAAAGTATATCTGAAATAAAAGTTTACTACAGGGGCTCAAAAGCTGATTTCATCTGACAGGAGAAAAAAAATGAAGTCTAACAAAGCACAGTTTTCACCAGCTGTTAATTTAGTGATCATTTTATACTACCAACATAGTACCATGAGTCTTAAGAAATTTCAGAAAGGATAACAAAATGTAAAGGTATTAATGCAGTACTCAAGTAGAGAATTAGGACATGATCCTCAAATGGGAAAGTAGAAAGTCGCCAAAACCTTTTGATTTAGATTTATTTTTGTTAAAGTTTAACAAACATTTCTTGAACAGCTGCTATGCACTATGCTATACAGTAAAAATATAAATTTAACTCAACAAATTCATCAATACAACAAACATTTATTGGGAACCCGCAATGTGACTCCAATATGCCAGACACTATGCTAGATGCTGTGGAAAAAAAGATAAATAAAATCCAAATGGTACCTTCAAAGAGCTCAAAATCTATTGTTTTTGTTTTTGTTTTTTTGCGGTATGCGGGCCTCTCACTGTTGTGGCCTCTCCCGTTGCGGAGCACAGGCTCCGGATGTGCAGGCTCAGCGGCCATGGCTCACGGGCCCAGCCACTCCGCGGCATGTGGGATCCTCCCGGACTGGGGCATGAACCCGTGTCCCCTGCATCGGCAGGCGGACTCTCAACCACTGCGCCACCAGGGAGGCCCCAAAGAGCTCAAAATCTAACAGAGAGGGACTGCCCTGGTGGTCCAGTGGTTAAGACTCCGTGCTCCCAATTCAGGGGGCCTGGGTTCGATCCCTGGTCAGGGAACTATATCCCGCATGCTGCACCTAAGACCCGGCACAGACAAATAAATAAAAAATAAATAAATAAATATTTTTTTAAAAAAGAATATTAAAAAATATCTAACAGAGAATGCAATTCAATGTGATAAATACAATTTTTAAAATGTGTATAAAATTGAGGGAAAAGTTACTAGTTGGAGGATACTGAGGGGGGGAAACACAGAAGGCCCTGCCAAGTGGCTGCTACCTGACCTGGATTTCAACAAGCTAACCACTGGGAAGAGGTGAGACCAGCCAGATGAAACGGCATGTACACAGTCTATGATAATATGAAATAGTGGACTAGTTTGGGAAATGACAGTAGTCACCAGTACTGCAACATGAAACAAGTCTGATGGGAGATGAGGTTGGAGAGGTAAGTCTACCGTATTAAATAGCTTAAACTTCATCCTACAGGGTATAGAGAGTCACTACAGGGACTTAAGGAAGGTTTTAAGTAATAGCAGATTTTTGTTTTAGAGCAATAATTTTGTATGTCCGTTATGAACTAGAAGTAGACAAGAGAGGAAAGAAGGAAATCAAGTAGCTCTAAGGCAGTGGCTATGAAGGTGTAGAGGACAAATCTGAGAGACAAAGACGGAACAGAATCAACTGACTTAGGGATCAGTTTTCACTACATCAATGTGCATCATGAAGCACCTGACCTAGACAAATGCTGATACTGTGTTTTGCTTCTGTAAAATCCTGAGACAACTCAATATGATGCAAAGGACATTAGCCTGGAAAACTAAGAAAGGGAGGGAAAAGAATAACAGTTTAGTTTTAGACCAACTAAATTTAAGATGCCAGTCAGATATGCATGAGCTGTTGATAAGCGCCGGATGCAGAAACCAGAATTCAAATTCTGGAGAGAAAGCGAATCAATGAATTATTATGTAGAAGTGATTAAGCCAAGGAAGTCTAAAAATGGCCTGGAGAGAGAGTGTAAAGTTGAAGAGAGACACCCATTGGCAAGAGCACAAAGAAAACCACTAATTTTAGAGAAGGCAGGGTAGGTTAATCAGAGCAGCTGAAAAGATCCCAGGAAAGAGATGAAATAAATGGTATAGCAACAAGTCCTATCTTATTTCAAATATGGCAGAGTAAAATCAGTATTTCCTCCTCTCTTCAAAATCATTTAAAAAATTTTAAAAAAGAGCAAGAAAACCCCATCTTTGATGAAGCTAGGAGATATCTGAAACCACAAAACAGATGGGAAAGCTGCCAAAGTACAGATCAAACAAGAATGTGGGAGCAAACACCAGAGAAAATCCCCACGCAGGGCTGCAAGCACAGAAAAACCCGTCAAGGCACATTTCTCCCAGGTGAGAGGAAGCCACTAAAAGGCCAAAGCAAAAACCCCTACAGTTCAAGTGGGGCACACAAACTGGTGGAGAGAGATTCTTTGGACCAGATTTAGTTCCAAAAAGCAGAAAAGCCCAAAGAAATCACACAGAGAAGCCATATTCATGGAAAGCAGACTCTGTGTGGCAGGGAAAAAAGAGAGTTGCATAGTGAATAGACCTACTGCAGCTTACAGACTGGAGAAATGTAATAGCTAAAATAAGCTCCCCACACACAACCATGAATTGTGAGAAAAATTCCAGTTGGCTTTGCACACAGCCCAAGAATAAGAAGTTGTGCATACAAATGAACTTATCTATGAAACACAAACAGACTCACAGACATAGAGAACAGACTTGTGGTTGCCAAGGGGGAGGGGGGGTGGGAGAGGGTGGATTGGGAGTTTGGGATTAGCAGATGCAAACTATTATATACAGAATGGATAAACAACAAGGTCCTACTGTACAGCACAGGGAACTATATTCAATATCCTGTGATACACTATAATGGAAAAGAATATGAAAAATAATATATATACATACATATAACTGAATCACTTTGCCATACAGCGGAAATTAAGACAACACTGTAAATCAACTATACTTCAATAAAATAAATTAATAAAAAAAAGAAGTTGTGCATAAAAATATTCACTAAACACTGCTTGTACTAGTGAAAAACTGAAACCAATGAAATATCCATCAATCAAAAAAATCGATAAATTCTGATATTCATCTAAGAATAGATGAACTGAAAGGAATGAACTAGAGTATATATATGTAACCATGTCGTTAAAATTCAAAAACACATTGTTGAACAAAAAAAGCAAGCTGCAGAATGATACAAATAATATGATGGCGTTTATATAAAACATGTCCTTTAAAACAGTGATATAATCATATGTAATAACAGCATAAAACATATATGGTAATAATAAACACCAAATTCAGGGTAATAGTTATCTCTGGAGTTGGAAGGAGAGAAATGACACCTGGGAGGGGTGCTCAGGGACTTTAAATGTATCTGTGATACTCCACTTCTTTTCCAAAAATCTGAAGCAACTACAGCAAAAATATTAGGATTTGATACAGCCAGGTATGCACTACGTTATCCTCTGCAAGCTACCCTGTATGCTTGCCTTAGGAACCCAGCCGCCACCCTGTGAGGAAGCACAGACTAACCCACATGTGGGGACCTCACAAAAAGACCCCCGTGGAGAGGGATCAAGGGGTGCAGCCTACAACCAGCATCCACTACCAGATGTCTGCGTGAACAAGCCTTCAGAAGATTCCAGCCCTGGCTTTTAAATCTTCTAGGTGGAGCCCCAAACATCATGGAGTAGAGACAAGCTGTCCCTGAAATCCAAATTCCTGGTTCACTCCTGAGCATAAATAAATGGTTATTTTATACCACCAAGTTTTAGGATAACTTATTACTAAGGTAACCAGACCGCCCAAATGTTAGACTGAACTGAAAAGAAAAATATTTGTATATAAATGTATAACTGAATCACTCTGCTGTACAGCAGAAATTAACACAACATTGTAAATCAACTATACTTCAATAAAATAAATTTTTTTAAAAAAAGAAAAGAAAAATATTTTCAGTGCCTAGCATAAGGCCTCAGTCCTGTTTGCTAAATTTACAAAACTGTCAACAGCGCTAAACTTACCTCAGTTTAATAACTTATATAGTTTCTTACCTCCAAACTGCCAGAATGTGCTGCCCAGTGTAAAGGGGTAAATTTATGGAGAACGTCAACTTCATTAATGCTGGCACCACGTTCTACTATTTTTGAAAGCTGTTTTACATCTCCAGCGCGTACTGCATCATGTATGCTACCAAAATGCACTTTCTTCCTGGCACCTACTGAAAACCAAAATTGCTTAAAATATATTACAAAACTAAAAAAAGACTAAAGCAACGACTGAACTGAAAGTACAAAATCACTTTGGCTTTCCAAATAATTTACTACAAAGATGTTTGTGATTAACATCTTAATCTGACTTCAATTTCAGCTCTAATATGTAAAGAGCACGGACGTTGTCACCCCCATCCATACAGGAAAAAAGCAGAACAAACAAAGTCAACAACTTTTCTTGCACTCATCAAAGAATTGAAGTCTCGGGACAAACGGCCACCCTGAATTTGGAGAGACAGGCAAATACAGAGAAACACAGTCAAGTTCAGCTTACCTGGAGCAGAAGTCACTAGAACCATAAGCTTCTAAAAGCACTTAAATAGTAATTTTGACAAATTGCTGGGGACTGGGTATGTAGTAGCCTAACAGTGAGAAACTCCTCAGGGCCATAGTCTTAAGCGGTCCCCTCATTTTCATAGATTTTACCTTCAAAACGCCACCAGGTTATCACTGTGAAAAACCAAGAAAAATCACTTCATGTCTTTGGTAAAGGGGAGAGAGGTAACCACTCTGAAATCTGCCCAGCTATTCTCTGTAACAAAGGCCTACTCTCCAGTGAAAAAGACTTTACCAGAACCTTATCTCACACAGGCAGATATATTTTACTAATATTTTTCATATCTTTCTCGTATGTCCTACACTAAGAAAGGAATGGCAGGTCACAATTTTTACTTCATACATTCTAGCGTCTTATATTTTATAATATAATGTTCCAAACATCAAGACTGGATTTTCAGCCTTACTGTACCGTGAAATATTTTAATGTGCATTGTGAACCAGAAGTAATAAAAGTATCTAAGCACGGACAGTTGTTGGAGAAGGAAGAAGTAAATAGTTCAATCAAAGCATTTCCTAAACCAAACAAACAGGCACAATTCCTGAACTCAAATTGTTTTGAAAAGAACTCACCAACACCTCTGGCAGATAATCTATGCAGCCTTGTATTACTATTTATCTATGTATATGTCCTCTCTCCACAATTAGCATGTTAATTTCTTGACAGCTGAAATCATTTCTTATACCAACCCTTAGCAAAATGCTATGCATTTTACTCAAAAGTCCTTTGAGCATGTACCATATGCCAGGCGCTATGATAACACAATGAATAGACATGGATTTAAGACATTTTCTTTCCACTGACACTTTAAAATCTATTGGGATAAATTCGATGAAATCGAAAACCTGACAGTAACATCCTAAGAGATTACAGGTAAAATAAAGGAGGAGGAGGAAACACTCGAGCAAGTCTTTCAAGAACAATTAAGATCTATGCATACGGGAAAGAGAGTAAGGAAGCACCCCGAGAAAACCAAACCACTTGGTAAATGTTTAATGATGTTAATCCCCTAGGTCAGACCTTCATTACTCTCCTTTATGTTTGTTTTTTTATATTTTGGCCATGCCGTAAGGCATGTGGGGTCTTAGCTCCTCGACCAGGGATCGAACCCGTGCCCCATGCAGTGGAAGCACGGAGTCTTAACCACTGGACCTCCAGGGCCTTCCATTATTCTCCTTTAAACTAGTACTGCAAATGACGTTCTACCCACTCTAATACATTTTATACAGGGACGCTCTAATCCATCGTATACAAGGACACTATTCTGATCACTTCATTCCTCCACTATGAACTGCTTCTGGTTATCCACTGCTAGTCTAGAGAACCAAATCCAAGCCCTCAGTATGACAGTCTATGCCCTCCCATAATTTGGCTCCATCTAATTTGACAGCCTTTTTTCTCACCACATTCCGTTCCAATTTATTCATTCATCCACCCATCTATCCACTCAACATTAATCTGGTATCTACCATAAGGATAAAAAGATAAAGAAGACATGATCTCTATCCTCAAGGGACTCACAGAGATATACAAACACAATTACAAAACAATGTAGTAAGAGCAATAACAGAAATATTCATAAGAAGTTATGAAAGCACAGAAGACTTCTAACTTAGCTAGGGTAGGAGGGAAGGAGAGCAGAAAAAGATTCCTAGAGAAGGTAACACCTAAGATGAATCTTCAAGGATTAGCAGGAATTTGCCAGGTGAAATGGATGTGGGGAAAGGCATCCTGGACAGGTCAAGAAACTATAAAAATACGCACCCTATTGTTGAAGCATAAAGTGGAAGGAAAAGAGGCTAGAATTAGACAAGAGGCAGGCTGTGCTGGAACTTGCTGAACTTGAGCAGAGTGGGGAGTCATTGAGGGATTTTAAGCAGAAGAATAAGAATGATCAGATTTGTAATGCTTTGTATATGGCTGGCTGCAGTAAGGCGAATTCATTGAGCAAAGGGCAAGAGTATAAACTCAAGGAGACCATGTAGGAAGATATCTACAGTAGTCTACACCAGAGAGGTTGAGACCCTCAACCAAGTGAATGGCAGTAGGAACAGAAAAGGAGACAGATTCAACATGTATTAAGGAAGCAGGATGAATTGAACTTGGATGGATATAGTGGGTGAAATAAGGGAAAAGTAACGGGACAACTCCAAGGTGTCTGGCTTAGTTACATAAGTGGTGTACTGCCACTGAGACAGCGAACACTAAAGGACAGAGAGGGCATATGAATACAAAATTATATTCTGAATGTGTTGATCTTGAGGTGCCCATGGAAGAGTTCCAGAAAGGAGTTGTACATATGAGTCTGCAGCTCCAGTGAGAGGCCTGGAGTTGAGTTCTCAGTGTTGGCTGTGTCTCAGTATTAGGCAGCTTTTTCTGATCCCCAACCTCACCCTATACTGGAGCCAACGGCTCTCTACTCTTCTTTATAGCATTCATCACACCAGTAATTACTTGCTGAGTATTCATCTTCCCCACTAGAAGGAAGGAATGTGCCTGTCTTCTTTGCTTACATATTCTTAAGACAAAGCACATAATAGGCACTCAATAAATATTTACTGGATGACTGAATGAATAACAGATTCCGGGGTCGTCACTAGGGTTGAAGCCATAGTACATGACAAGGAAAAAAGCACTAATGATGGCACTATCCAAGGGAAAAAGCAACGTTTTAAAAAGAGGATAGAAGAAAATTCAGGGTAGATAAGTAGATAGATAGGTAGGTAGATAGGTAGGTAGGTAGATAGATAGATAGATAGATAGATGGATAGATAGATAGATAGAGTCAGCAGAGTGGAAGGAAGAAAATGAGATAAGTCTAACATTATCTCCAGAGTCAAATGCTGCAGAGACGGTAGAACTTAAAAGGGTCCATACATTTTAACAAGAGTTGATGTCAGCTGGGAACGAAGTCTCAGGAATGCGCGTAGATAGAAAAATAAAAAAGGAAGTAAAGCTGAAATGAGGAAGGGTGGGGGCCAGGTGAGCAGCTCTGTGACCTACTGAAAACAGGTCAATTAAGGGAAATGAGGAGTGACAGGGGAGAAAGGGAACTGCCAGAAGGGGCGAAGCTCCTGTGAGCTGAAGTGAGAAAAGGAGTGTGGCAGAGATGAGGGCAGTGAAGTAATCTGACTCACACGGGGTCGCAGTCTCCGTGCAGAAGGTGGAGGGGCCTGAACCGGACACCCCGGGCATGGTGCGACCCCTCGGACTCCGGGGAGCAGTCGAGTCCAGGGCCCTGCTGCTGCGGCGGTCTTCGGTCGCTGTCACCCACGAGCCAGTGCAGCAGCGGCTGTCTTCCTCGTCGTCGCTAGGCCCGGGGACGCCGTCCTCCGTCGTTCTCTCCCAGGAGCCCCGGCAGCGGGAACCTTCGTCTTCGCTTTCTCTCTCCCAGAAGCGGCGGCGGCTGGCGTCTTCGCTGACGCTCACGACGGAGGAGTCGCTGGCCACGTAGCCGCGGTCTTCACTCACCCCCTCCTCCCAGGAACTGCTGAGGCTGCGGCCGCCATCCACACTTCCGCCCTCCCAAGAGCCACTGAGGCGGCGGCTGTGGTCGTCACTGCCTCTCTCCCCGGAGTCGCTGTTTCGGGGACCCCGGAGCTCCCTGACTCCCTCCCAAGTCCCACTGAGATGGAGGCCGCGGTCTTCTCTGACCGTTCCCCCGGAGTCACTAGTGGGGTGGCTTCCGACTTCACTTAAACTCACGTCGCTGCTGCGGTCTCCCCTTACTCTCTCCCAAGAGTTGCTGGGACGGTGGCCACGGTCTCCCCTGACCCTCTCCTGAGAGACACTGCGACAGGGGCCCAGGTCTTCACTGACCCTTCTTGAGTCATTGCGGGAGAAGCGGACGTCTTCACTTGCTCTTCCCGTCGGTACCCTGCAGCGGTGGTCGCTGCCTTCACGGATTCCTTCCCTGTCTTCGCTACGACTAAAGCTCTGGCCTTCGCTAACTCTTTCCCTGGATTGGTCGCCGCGATGGCCGTGCCGGCCGTTTATCCTCCACACGCGATGGCCGGTGAGGCGGCCGCCGTCTTCGGTTGCTACTCCCCGCGATTCACTGTGGCGGCGGCCGCCGTCGGCGAGTACACTCTCCTCTAAGTCGCTTTCCAGCGTCCCGACTCCAGCCGTTGCAGCGATGGTGGAGCCGTCGCCTTGGAAATGAGTAAACTTCCGGCGTGCTGCGGTCATTTCCGCTCCCTCGCGGTCGTGCGTCACTTCCGGCTTCCCTGCAGGTTTTTTTTGTTTGTTTTTTTTTTGTTTGTTTTTTAACCCCAAAGCTTCTCCTCTAGAGATGGTGGAATGGACCGGCTTTCGATGAAGTTCCGCTCGGTCTCACATTCAGCCTGTCTAGGCCCCGCCTCTATAACGGCGTGGCATAGATCGCGCCCGCCGTGTCTCGGCGACGCACGTGGAGACTCCAGGACTGCAGTCGACGTAGGTGACCTGCGTGTGTGCCTCGGGCCGGGCAGGGCCTTTTATCCTCGGCAAACCGAGTGTCATTTTTCAGTGCTGGTTGGAGCATTGGAGAAAATATATTCTTACCCTATCACTTCATAAGTATGGACAAAAGACCTAACGGAGAAGTTAGCAGCTGCAGCGCTATCATTGTTGCGTGTTACTACTGCCAGGCTCTTTGATAATCGCTTGGTACTAATTCTCACACTAATTTTGTAAGGTAGGTGTTATCCCCATTTTACAGGTGAGGAGATTCAAGGTATCAGTAATTTGCTAAGATCCAACAGCAGGTAAGTTGTGAAGCCAGTATAAAAACAGGTCATCAGTCAAAAGACTGCACCAGGTCTCCTGACTCCAAGGTTCCTTTCACTGTAAAATGTTTACTTTCAACATTTTGGCCCAGATCCTTTTCTGCAAGCCTACTGCATAACGTGTATTCTTCCATTCATATTTATAGCAAATATATGGGTCAGGTCTTGTGCTAGCAGCTGAAAACACAGAAATTAGAATTCTCTGCCCTCCAAGGGCATCACCCACCTTGATTCTCCTTTTACCCTGTTTTTTCCTATCCTTTTGCCACAGGTTTTGTTTAGTGAACACAGCTGGCAAATTACCCCGACCCTACCTTTCCTCTCTTGAAATACAGTAAATGCCTTTCTTTAACTTCCATGGCCTCTTGTAACATTAATAACTTCCATTTGTTGAGTTCTTATGATGAATCTGGCACTGTACTAAGCGCTTTATATTAGTTTTTCTGTTTAATCCTTCACCTAACCTAACAGGATAGTATTACTGTTCCTTTCTACAGTTAGAGAAGTACAGCACCAAAGTTAATTGCCTGAGGGTACACAGCTAGTAAGTATTAAGTCCTCGCATTAGGTTTCAACCTAGATCTTTGATTTTGCTGTGCATACTCCTCGAAATCTCTGAATTCCCACAGCCTTTATTAGACCACTTGTCATACTGTATTACAATTACCTGTTTAACAGTTGGTTCTCACCCCTACCCCCCAGGGACTCTGACCTTCTGGAAGGTGGAAACTGTATCATTATTCATCATGGCATTCCTAACATTTAGAATACTTAGTTGAAGGGAAGGAATTACTAACTGTTGTGTGGGTAAGTGGGTTGATGGTTGGTTGATTGTCTGGTGGATGAACTGATAGATTGAAAGTAAAATTTTTCAGGGACTTTGCTGGTGGTCCAATGGTTAAGACTCTGCACTTCCACTGCAGGGGGCATGGGTTTGATCCCTGGTCGGGGAACTGAGATGCTGCATGCTGCTTGGCGTGGCCAAAAGAAAAGTAAAATTGTTCAGTTGGAAAGGAATTTGGGATTAGTCAGCCCAATGCCCTCATTTTTGGAAATGGGGCAACTGAGGCCTATTGTCTTACCAGACATCTATTGAGTTATTAATATGGGCCAGTTTTTATGCTAAATGATTTGCAAATAGTCTTAATCTGTATTATTATTTCTATTTTTACAGGTGAAGAAATCAAGATTTGGCCAAGATCCCATAACTAGGTGGTGGGGAGTTGGAACCCACTATGACTGAACTCCAAATTAATACAGTGTTTGTAGCCACTTATATAATAATGGTAAAGGCATTACTTTTTTGCTCTGTTGTATGGATAAACACACTGAGGCTGAGGGAATAAGGCAGCACACTCTTAAAGGATACACACTTGGTGGAAAGGATCAGAAAAGGAAACAGAAACATAGAGAAGCAGAAAAAGTAAAATCTCCCAAAATAAACTTGAATTAAAATAAAAGCAGAAGTTAAAGAAATAGAAAATAAAATTGATCATAATAGTAGCTGATGTTCAAAAAGAACAATAAACAGACAGCAAATCTGAGGAAGAAGAAGAGAGAAAACAGTATCAGAAGCAAAGGGAACACATTACAGATATTAGGGACTTTGAAAACAAGTGAATTATTTAGTGTAACCTTATAATCTTGAAAATTGACTTGGACATTTTTTTTTTTTTTTTGCGGTACGCGGGCCTCTCACTGTCGTGGCCTCTCCCGTTGCGGAGCACAGGCTCCGGATGCGCAGGCTCAGCGGCCATGGCTCACAGGCCCAGCCGCTCTGTGGCATGTGGGATCCTCCCGGACCAGGACACGAACCCACGTCCCCTGCCCAGACTTGGAGAATTTTTTAGGAAAATATAAATTTTTAAAAAATTGGCTGAAGAGTTAGAAAACGTTAATAAACATAACTATAAAAGAATGCCTGGGCTTCCCTGGTGGTGCAGTGGTTAAGAATCTGCCTGCCGGGCTTCCCTGGTGGCACAGTGGTTGAGAGTCCACCTGCCAATGCAGGGGACACGGGTTTGAGCCCTGGGCCACGAAGATCCCACATGCCGTGGAGCAACTAAGCCCGTGCATCACAACTACTGATCCTGTGCTCTAGAGCCCGTGAGCCACAACTACTGATATAGCCCGTGCTCCGCAATGAGAGAAGCCACAATGAGAAGCTCGTGCACCACAACGAAGAGTAGCCCCCACTCGCCGCAACTAGAGAAAGCCCGTGAGCAGCAACAAAGACCCAACGCAGCCAAAAATAAATAAATAAAATTTTTAAAAAAATTCAATTAAAAAAAAAAGAATTATATGGGCCAATAGTGATTAAGAGGCTAAGAAAAGCACACTGGTTTTGGCAAGGAGTCATTGATAATATTCAGGAGAGCAATTTTAATGAAATAGGCAAGATGTAAAAACCAGATTGCACGGGATTTCAAGGTAAGTGAGGGACTGACTATGAAGGAAGTTTCTCAAGTGAAACAGGTTTCAGAACACACTGAAGTGGGCATCTCAGCATTCCAGAGACTCAAAACCCTTTTAAGTAGGAAGCTTATGGTTACAATGAGTAAAATTGGCTAGTCCTCCATCTCTACCTCAGTTTTTCCAAAGTGGGGTGATAGGTTGTTCCTCTAATCCCCTGTAAACCAGCTCTTTCCATCTAGTTCTAGAGGAGGGAGTAGGACCAACTCCAGGACAAGAATTAAGTGGATTTTGGTAACCGTCTCTACTCTTTTCTGGCTACAGACCCTCTTACTTCCCAAGCATTCTTTCTTTCCCTTTGGTGGTCACCTCTAATCCCTCACTGGGGCACCCCATGGGTGCATTTTTGCTCTTACTCTTTAACTTGCTCTTCCCCACCTGCCCAACAAAGTGTTCATTATTTCAGAGAGCTGACCCCATATAGGAGTAGGAGGGCACTTCCTACTCCTACAGTAGAAGTTCAGGCCTTTTTTGACACTAGTCTGATTTTCCATTTCTACCTCCAGATTACCTCTTTAGTCAGCTAAACCTTTCCATTTGTAGACATGCTTAGATGCCTCCTTATATCTTCCTGAATGTTTTGTATAAACCCCTCGAAGCATTCGTTAGATGTTAAATAGGCTGTAAAGAAAGACAGCCAGGAAAATATAACTAGAATCTAAAATTGTTTATTTTAGGTTAAACTATTCTGTGAGAATCTAAGTTTTTTTCTTTTTTTAATATTGAAATATAGTGAAATATATGTAAGTCTCAGGTGTACCACAGTGATCCACAATTTTTAAGGGCTATATTCCATTTATAGTTATTATAAAATATGGGCTAGATTCCCTGTGCTGTACAATATATCCTTGTAGCTTATTTATTTTCTACATAGTAGTTTGTACCTCTTGATCCCCTACTCCTATCTTGCCCCTCCCCCTTCACTCTGGTAACTGCTAGTTCTCTATTTGTGAGTCGTTTTCTTTTTTGTTATATTCACTAGTTTATTTTTTACATTCCACATATAGTGATATCATACAGTACTTATTAAATTTTTAATGTATATAATAATTAGGTCCTTATTTTTCTCCCCAAAGCTTATTTTATTTTGAGCTGAATAACAAATTCCTTTGTAGTATTTAATGGAACCTAAAAGTTGGATGTTTAAAAATAGGTAAATTATGTTGAAATCAGAGAACATTGTAAATAGGGTATGAACAATGAAATTTGTAGATTTTAATACAATATTCCTTTTATTTCCTCTCACAAACTTCAACTCTTATTTCAAAAGACAGTATTCCAGGGACTTCCCTGGCGATCCAGTTATTAAGACTGCGCGTTTCCACTGCAGGGGGCGTGAGTTCGATCCCTGGTCAGGGAACTAACATCCACATGCTGCACAGTGTGGCCAAACAAAACAAGACAATATTCCAGCTTCCCTGAGGCTTCCTTTAGCTTTCTTTGCTATACTCTCTTGTGTAGAATAATGGTTCTAGTTCCTAATGGTATGTGTTTACTACTTTTCCGTTTTTTTAGGGGGCTAAAATTAGGTGTTGCTGATTTCTAGGTCAGTTGTCAGATCTGGCCGTTTATTATAACAGAATTAACTATGGAGCTTTTTAAAATTGGGATGTAATTGACATAAAACATTAGCTTTGGTGTTTAAAAAGCTATGGAGCTTCTTAAATATTAGAGGTGTCTCTGAATGAGAATCTACTAAATAAGACTCTCGAGATAAGCAATCTCTTCTTAGCATTCACTGTGACTCTAATGCACAGCCAAATTGGGGGGCACACTTCTAAATCAATACCCAACATCTACATCAAACAAAAACTAGGAATTCTCAATTTCAACTGCAAATACCTATGAACATCTCAGAGAAATACTGTCCCTCCGCCATTACAACTAAGTCCTTTTGTGCTATTGAT